AGCTGTTTGTTGGTTTTGGGTTAATTGCCCAGGCCTCTTTTCCACAAAGAAGTTTTGTTTTGTATTTTGCTTAGCAACCTTTGCTAAGAGTTGCCTTTTTGAAGAGCTGTGTTTGCTCCCAACTAATAGAGGTTCATTGAGTATCCCTCCACCTGCTACTCTGATTTACTCAAAGGTAGCACTTGTGGAGGCTGTTATCTTAATCTTTTGGAGCCTTCTGTCCTCCAGGGACAGTGAAATGCAAGAAGATAGTTTAATGTTCTGGGTGAGAACTTGCTTGCAAATCATTTCCCACAGTCTCTTCTCTTTTGTTTTTTTTGCAGACTCCTCCTATTTTATTATGTGTTGCTACCTTTGGGCCGAGCATAGCTAGCATTTGTCTGCTTTAGAAAGGAGAAGCCATCAGAGCATCTCATTGCAGAAAACCTTATTAAAGGCAAAATCACATTTGTTTTGTCTTTGTATTGATCTGGGCTGGGTGCCTGCTGAATAGGAGACTTGGTCCAACTCTGCTTTACACATATTAGGATATTATTAGCGTTTAGAAATTAGGGCATAGTGGAAAGGGTCAGAAGAGAACTTGGTTCAAATCTGGCTTTCAGCACTTGCTAGCTGGGTCATTCTTGGAAAAGCATTTAGTCTCTGATCATGGAGATACAGTAATAATACCTGTAGTACCTACATTGAATTGTTGCAGAGATGAAATGAGGTAATACAATTCATTTTTAATAAGTATTCACTAAGTGCCTGTGATGTGCAAGGCCGAAGATTCAAAGACAAAATAAAACATTTTCTGCCCTTAAAAAGCTTATACTTTACTGGGGGGGAAATGTGTCATGTACATAGATAAACAAATGCAGAAGAGATACAAAGTATTTCAGAAGGGGAAAGAGAGTACCATTGGGAGAAGGGGGAAATCAGGAATGGACTCCTGTAGGAGGTGGCACCCAAGTTGAATTTTAAAGGGAAGGGAGTATTCCAGAGGCTACAGTGAAGAGGGAAAACGCTGAGGCATGTGGAGTGTGGGGGACAGTCTAAGCAAAGTCTCAGAGGTAGGAAGTGGAATGGGATCTTTGGGAAAAAGCATGTAGGTCAGTTTGGCTTTGCCATAGAGTTGGTGAGGGGGAGGAATGTGAAATAATCCTAGAAAGATCTGTTGGGAGCTAGATCTGAAGGGCTTTAAATGCCAAGCTGAGGACTTCATATTGTATCTTAGAAGAGGGAGTTTCTTTTTTTCTTGTTTTAATTTTTTTAAAATTAATAAACATTTATTTTCTCCCTCTATTGGAAAAAAAAAGAAAATTAAAATCCTAAGAAACATTAATAGTGAAGCAAAACAGATCACTACATCTCCAGTAGAGTTAACCTACTGTCACTTGGTCCCCATGGACTAGGGGGCCTGACCAAAGCCCCCCAGTTAGTCACTTTCCCCTTGTCTGAGGGGTCTTCCAGGAATGGGCCACCATTACCAGCTTGTGTAATGCAGATGAACCTTGGCTAAGCCTTTAATTATGTAAACTTTCTTATGCTTCAGCTATCTTCTCTAAGGAATTGTAGTATGACTCAGTTGATGAATAGGGAAAGAGAAAATCAAAAATGTAAAAGAGAATGGGTTTAGTTCTGCCAGAGAATGGGGAAAACCAATAACATTTTATTTCATGTCCTATCAGTTCCCTGAAACTCCTAGCAGTAAAATAATCCTCAGCAAAATTGCAAAGACTTAGTACTAGTTTAAAGGAAGACCAGGAAAGGCTTAGCAACCATGTTGCTTGTGAATTGAGGTATTGAGAGATATTTTTTTTTCAGCTTAAAATATGTGGAGGTAATAGCAAGCAAATAAATGAACAGTCTGTACCTGGAGTCTCTTCTCTGATTCCTAAAGTGAGTTTCCATAGCTATCCTGTCTGTGGGTCCATTTGACCCAGTGCTCCCCAAGCAAACGTTGTCAGCTTTACTAGACAAGAAGATGAATATGTGGAATTTCCCTCTCCTCTAAAGGTATTTTGCCTAATGAATATGTGGAATTTCCCTTTCTTCCATAAAGATATTTAGCCTAGAGTTCCCTAACTTCAGAAATTGACTTGACTCTTATCAGGCTTCTGGGAGGTGGAAAGGGAGTAGCTAGTGTGATATCTTAGAAAAATTTCCAAACAGGCATTTTTTGACTTGAGCGTCTTCCCACTTCCTTTCTTTGTCTAGAGATATCTGGATGGTACAGTGGATAGCGCACTGGACCTGGAGTTAGGAAGACCTGGGTTCAAATATCTAGCTGTGTGACCATGGGTGAATCACTTAGCCTCTGTTTACCTCAGTTTCCTCATTTGCAAAATGAGGAACGAACCACCTACTAACCTGGGTAGTTGTGAGGAGAAAATGATTTAATATTTCCAAACATTAATTTACCATATAAATGCTCACAATTATTATTTTCTATTTCCTTCTGACATCTGCTTAAGCTCCCTATGATAAGCCCTCTGGGCCTCCAAGTCAGTCTATCTTCTCCTTTGTCTCTTTTCCAATTCCCATAGCTTAGAGTTGGGTTCAAAGTTAATTCATTAAACTAATTTATATAACTATGTGAATGAAAGAGCTTCTTCATCTTTCAAGGCCTTAACTCAAGATAAATTAATAGTGAAGAATGGCCTGTCTTAGGGACCCCAACTCCCAGTGGCTGGAGGAGGATGTACCATCAGCCAAAAGAGACGGAGTTCCAAGGAGTGGGAGCTAGCCATGGTTCCCTAGGTCCTCCTAGATTTTTTAGATAACTAATGGCACAAGATTGGTTGTGCCATTGGGGTGGGAAGGACTTTGAGGGAATGAAAATGCCTTCAACTCTCCAATCAAAAACTGTCTCCTTTGCAATTCTATTTTTGGCTTTTATCTGCCTCTGTCTTACGGTGTTCTCTTCCCATGCCTTTGCTGAGGTAACATAGGATGTAAGGTGCTCTAACTTGGGGTTATGAGCCTGATTTCTTGCTAGTCAAATCAATAAATTATGCATTAAGCACCTACTGTATGCCAGGTACTGGGGCTACAAAGACAATAACTAAAAAAACCTACTCTCTAGGAGCTTAGATTGTATTGGGGAAGGGTGAGAGAACTACCCCTAATGTACATAAGAAAGTAAATACAAAGTGGATACAAGGTAATTTTAAGGTTGGGGAGGACACTAGCAGCTGAGAAGATTAGGAAAGTTCTCATGTACCAACTGGTCCCTGAGCTGAGTTTTGAAAGAATCTAGGAATTCTAAGAACAGGGAGTACATTCCAGGCATAAGGGACAGTGACAAACAGTGCTAACGCATGAAGATGGAAGATGAAAAGTCATGGGTGATGAATTGCAAGAAAGACAGTTTCACTGGACCATGGAATAAAAGTAGGGGAATAGAGATACATGTTATAAGACTGGGAAGGTAAGTTGAAGCAGGGTGCTGAAGGGCTTTATATGCCATGCAAAGGAGTTTGTATTTGAGCCTACAGGTGATTAATAGTGAGTTATTTAAGTTTATTGAGATTCAGAGGGACTTGTCAGATTGTGCTTTGTTTCTGATCTCAAGATTAGGAATATCACTGTGGCAGCTTTGGGGAAGGTGGATTGGAGACGGAAGAGGGTTGATATAGGAAGCCAGTTAGGAAACCATTGCAGTAATCTAGGTGAGAAGCATGGAGTGTGTGTGTGTGTGTGTGTGTGTGTGTGTGTGTGTGTGTGTGTGAGATTTAGTGGAATAGGGTTTGTTTTTTTGGGAGGGGCAATTGGGGTTAAGTGACTTGCCCAGGGTCACACACAGCTAGGAAGTGTCAAGTGTTTGGTCTGAGACTGGATTTGAACTGAGATCCTCCTGACTTCAGGGACAGTGCTTTATCCACTGCGCCACCTAGCTGCCCGTGTGTGTGTGTGTGTGTGTGTGTGTGTGTGTGTGTGTGTGTGTGTGTGTGATTTAAAGAAGACCTGTGGGAGAGATGTTGGAGATACCCTACGATCAAAAAGACTTGACATTTGAATATGGTGTTGGGGTGGGGGAAGGGCATAGTGAGGGAGAGAATAAAAGTTAGTGATTCTATTGGTTGCCATTCTGGATGACCTCTCACTAAGGCTGTGCATTTCAAAAAGCTTTTTTTTTTCTCCTTTACTCTTTATCTGTCCTTTGGTTCTTAGCTTTTAGTGGAAAGTCTGAGTTCTCTCTTTGGCATTTAGTATTTTTTGAGGTTATCTTCCTTGTACGTAACAGAACTTGATGTGATGTTTTCCATTTGCCCCACTGACAGCAAAGTTGGCCTTTCTGTTCTTTTGTTGTTTCTTGTTTCTGTTTTTAAGCCAGGTAATCTCTTTGGGTTTTGGGGGCAGCAATTGTTAATGGTCCCGACAGGGGCCTGCTCACAGAGAGTCAGTGGGTATAGGATTTGAGTAACTGAGCCTAGGATTACCGTCTGCCCCAGAATTGGCAGAGCGTGGGGGAGGCAGGAGGGAGAAGTATGCCATTCTTCTTCTTATCTGCAGACTACCTATTTTCTCCCCTGATACATTGTAGGTGAATTAAAACTGAATTGAAGGATTAAATCACCAGCCCTTATTTCTTTCTGAAGGAGGGCCCAAAATGGTTAATAATGAATCAATCCCCTTCTTTATGAACATATGGCATGTGCTTGTGTTACAGTGTGAGCCCACAGTATGAGGCCCAGGAGGAGTCTGCTCCCGCGGTCTGAAGAAAAGAGTCAGGGTGGAGCAGGCAGTATTGGGATTTACCTCTCCCTTTCCTTAGAAGCAGGTCTGGGTTTCTAAACATCCAGCCGCTCAGGAGAATTTCCTGTCACTTTGCCGCACTCTAATTTACCATCATAAAAAACCCTCCACCCGTTTTGTGCTATTGTCTGGTTTCTCTTTTTTTCCTTTTCCTTTTTTCCCCCTTTCAGAGTGGGAGGGAAGCCAGATGGAACACACTGCAGTCTGAATGAACCCTGAGCGACAGACTAACGTGGATGCTTATTCTGTTTCTTCCTCAGCTCCAGAAGAAAAGGAGGTAATTAAAGGACAGTATGGGAAACTCATAGATGCTTACGGCTGCCTGGGCGAGCTCAGGTTAATATCTGGTAAGTGCCCATTCAGGTTAAAAATGACGGGAATCAGGATGTGCATTGCCATACTCCGCAAATAGCTGGGCAAACAGCACCTATTGCGTTAGGTCTGAAAGACTCATGGGGTCCAGCTGTTTTATTTCGCAGCTGTAGTTGAACCTCTTTGGCATTTCTTTAGAAAACTAAACTCGAATCTTAGTGCAGATGAAGGGGGTAGGGGGAGAATGGTTGAATCTGGATCATCGTTATTTATTCTGTAGACCATAGGCAGCTAATAGCTTTAGGCTGGTGTAAGATGAGACTGGCGTGGTGGAGAACAGAACTTCCTTCCATCCTCCACCCAAATAAAAGCCTGATCTGTGCAGCCCTGTCGATTTGGGGGCTTTATGAGTGGCATCTGTGGGATTAGAAGATGCCACCAAGGGGATGCAGATGGAGGACAGGGTTGATGGGCAGGACTGCTAACTTGGAGGGCAGAGGAGCTGAGATGGAGGTGGTGTAGGGATTATATATATGGTAGGAGGTGAAGAGCAGAAATACAGATTTACAAAACGAAGGTAGAGAAACACTGGTTTAGATCCGGGGATGGGGGGATGGGAATTGAGGTTTATAATTTTATCTGATCCAAGAGGGTATAAAAATGTTGAGAAATGGCACCAGAGAGGCTGGAAATCCTGGGTTCAAACCCTACCTTTGACATCTGTGTGGCTAGGAGAAAGGTACTTAACATTTTTGAACCTCAGTTTCTTCATCTATAAAATGGGGATAATACTATTGAGACCTATGTTATAGGGCTGATTTGAAGCTCAAATGTAATAATATATGTAAATAGTTATACAAACGTCATTATTGTTGTTCTTGTTATAAACTAGTGTTTCAAGCATACCGCCTTTTGGGAATAAACTGGTCATAGGGTGTGTAGTTCAACATGTCAGTAACTTCTAGTATAGACCAAGCAGTTTGTACCTGCACCATAGATTACTGACTCTTCAGGGTCCGTTGTACCACAGGTTCACTCCCTGCTTACTGGATCAGCTCAAGAAATAGGTCTTATCTTATTTATCTGGAATCCGCCCACCATCTTTTTTTTTTTTTTAGGCAGTCAGGGTTAAGTGACTTGCTAGAGGTTACACAGCTAGTAAGTATCTGAGGATTTGAACTCAGGTCCTTCTGATTCCAGGGCTGATGCTCTATCCACTGTGTCACCTATCCGCCCCCACCATTATCTTTTCCTGGTCTGTTGGCAAAGAACAGGGAGCTATAGATTCCTTTCACGTGACCAAGATCAGTGTCTAGGCTATTAATTTATCTCAATTCCATTTCAAGAATTATGATTAAATAAAAATGGGAAATGTTGTGAACTGTTCCCCCCTAGATTTAAGGATTTCCCCATTTCTCCCTCCCTCCATATCCCAGAAGTTTCAGGACACACAGGTCAGGTAGTAGATGTTTTAAAATGAATGGCTTTTAAAAAAACACGTGCAAAGAAAACCAAAACCCAACTCAGCTACTTTTCTTTGTCATGTGTTTTTCACTACATTTCTGGAGGTTTTGCTGATATGGGATAACTACTCTTCAACAGTAACCCATACCTCAGAGGCTATTCCAAGTTTTCTCTTTTTTCAAGCCTCCAGTTCCAGCCCATTCCGTTTTCCCTTAGTAGATGACCTTGTCTCCTACTTTAGAAGGGAGTTGAGGTCAGCAGACATCAGCTCCCTCAATCCTCCACTCTTGGACCTCAAAACCTCTTTGTTCTTACATCTCTCCTCCTCCACTGTACTGTCTCACGAGATTAGGTGGTGATCCTTCTTGCCAAGAATGCTAATCTCTTTTAGAACCTTGTTCTATTGGTCATTCTCTTATTTTTGATTTTTCCCTTCTCATTTGGCTCCTTCCCTGCTACCTACAAATACATTCAGTTCTCCCTTATCCTTAAAAAAAAAACCCAAAACAAAAAAACAAACTATGTCTCTACCTTGCTATTCCCCAGAAGCTTTTATCATACATCTCTCTGTCTCTGTCTCTGTCTCTCTCTCTCTGTCTCTCTGTCTCTCTCTCTCTCTCTCTCTCTCTCTCTCATGCACACACCAGTAAACTCCCCAAAGGAGCAGTCTACATTCACTGTGGATACTTACTCTAAATCTCCTTGAAATTTATATTCCAATCATACTTTATTGAAACATCTCTCTGAGATCATAAATGACCTCTAAATTGACTTTTCTCACTTTTCATCCTCAGCCTATTGAATCTGACACCGTTGACCTTTCTGGTTTTCTTTATATTCTTTTCCTTTGGCTACCATGACATTGTTGTTCCCTGGTTCACTTTCTATCTGACTGACATCTCCTCTTGTCTGATTAATTGTTATCTTCTCTTTCCCTGATGAGAAATATGGATAGCTTGGTGGCACAGTGGATAGAATGCCAGTCCTGGAGTCAGGAAGACTTCAGTTCAAATCCAGCCTCAGACACTTAATAGCTGTGTGACCTTGGGCAAGTCACTTAACTCTGCTTTCAGTTCCTCATCTGTAAAATGAGCTAGAGAAGGAAATGGCAAACTAGTCCAGTATTTCTGCCAAGAAAACCCCAAAAGGGGGTCACAAAGAGTTGGACACAACTGAAAAATGACTGAACAACAGCTTTCCCTGAATGCACTGGTCCACCTCTTCTCTCTCTCTCTCTCCATTGACTCATTTGGTGAACTCCCTTCCCATGGCTTTGGTTATCTTCTCTGCACAGAAGACCCCCAGAAGTAGTATTAGTGTTGCATCCCCACCTGCCTTCTAGGCATTGCTACCTGGTTGTTCCACTGTCATTTTAGACTCAACGTTTCTCAAACTGAGCTCCTCCTTTATTTCTCTCAACTTTCCCATTTTTACCATCATACCAGTTACTCAAGCTCAAAATCTCCATCTTCTTTGACTCTTCCCTTCCCCTCATTCCTCATATCCAATTAATTGCCAAATCCTGGTTTTTATCTTTGATATCCTCTGACTTAACCTATCCTACTCTTCTTTTCTACCACGACTCCCACCATCTGAACTGTGATCTCTTTTCTTTCTTTTTTTTTTTTTAGGCAGTGGGGTTAAGTGACTTGCCCAGAGTCACACAGCTAGTAAGTGTTATGTGTCTGAGGCCGCATTTGAACTCAGGTCCTCCTGAATCTAGGGCCGGTGCTCTATCCGCTGTGCCACCTAGCTGCCCTTTGTGATCTCTTTTCACCTGAAATATGATAACAGGTTCTCAACCAGTGTTCCTGCCCCATGTTCCCCTCTTCTGATCCACCTTTTACACTGCTGCTTACTTAATATTCTTCTCTGATCGTACGAAACTTTTCAATGCCAGACAAATAAAAGACGAACTTCTTATTCTGTCCCCTGGCTCAGCATTCCATCTTCAATGCTATGCCTTTGCTTAGGCTATCTCCCTAATCTGGAATACATTCCTTCCTCCCTTGGACCTGTTAGGATCTCTAACTTCCTTTAAAATTCAGCTCATGTGCTACTTCCTTTGGGAAGCCATCTCAGATCCCCCTAGTTGTTAGTGCTTTCTCCCTCCTGAAATAATCACATATATATTTATGCATTGAATCCACCACTAGAATGTCCCTGAGGTCAGGGACTATGTTCTGTTTTTGTCTTTTTTACCTCCTGCCCTTCCTGGGGCAGCTAGGTGGCATAGTGGATAGAGTACTAGCCCTGGAGTCAGGAGGACCTGGGTTCAGATTTGGCTTCAGACACCAGCTGTGTGACTGGATAAGTCACTTAACCCTGTTTGCCTCAGTTTCTTCCTCATGAACTGGAGAAGGAAATGGCAATACCCCTGCTAAGAACGAAGAATTAGACACGATTAATTGACTAAACAACAACCTAGTGTAGGTATACATAGTAGGTGCTTTATAAATACTTTTTGGATTGGATTCAAGGCCCTCTTCAGTCTGGCTCCAGTTAACCTTTGCATCCTTATTTTGCCTCACTCCCCTTTTAGTACTTTATATTTTATATTTTAGCACTTTATACTGTATTTTAGCACTCCCCTTTTAGCACTTTATATTTTATATTTTAGCACTTTATATTATATTTTAGCACTCTCCTTTTAGCACTTTATATTTTATATTTTAGCACTTTATATTATATTTTAGCACTCTCCTTTTAGCACTTTATATTTTAAGTCAAGCTAGCTAAATAATTCCTGCTCTCCTCTTGCCCTGCCTTTCCTCTATGTAGGGCATCTCTCAGGCATGGAATGTATCCTCACCTCAGGCTCTTGAAATCCTTCTTTTCTTTCTGCTCCTAGTTCTGATATCTCCATACTAGAATATACAAATGGGCAAACACAAGGTAATTTGAGGAAAGAGATAGTAGGAAACAACCCAGAGAATCAGGAAAAGCTAGAAGGTGAATTGAGTTTTAAAGAAAGCTAGTGTTTTTAACAGGAGGGAGGTAAGATGGATGTGGATTGCATGCATGGGACAGCCTGTGCAGAGGGGTAGAGAAGCATCATATGTGGTAGATCGTAGGTCAGTATGGAGGGAATGTAAAATGATGAAGAGCAGTATGAAATAAACATGGGAAGGAAGTTCTTTAAGTGCCAAGCGGAGGACTCTTTATGTTATCCCGGAGGCAGTCTGGAATCACAGAAGGTTTGGCAGCTTTAGGGAGAATGGATTGGAAGGGGAAGCATCCAGAAGCCGGGCACCTAAGGCTGCTGCACAAGCGTAAGGGCCTGAGCTGGGAGACTGGCTGTCGGTGGAAGGAAGGCTGTGAATGTGAGACATGCTGGTAGGATCACTAAAACTTGGCAGCCAACTGTGTATGGGGAGTGAAGGACAGTGAGGAGTTAAGGAGGCAGGGCAGCTAGGTGGTAAAGTGAATAGAGCACCTGCTGTGGAGTCAGTAGGACCCGAGTTCAAATCTGGCCTCAGACTCTTGACACTAGCTGTGTGACCTTGGGCAAGTCACTTAACCTTGATTACCTCAACCCCCCTCCCCCCCAAAAAAAAAGGTTAAGGGTGAC